AGCAAATGGGTGGGATGGGTCGTTAAATAGTACAAAGAAATGTTTAGTAGGCTATATAATAAATCAATCAAGAACAAACCGTTTGGTGTCAACAATATAAGTTTGAGTGGTTAGCAAGATATTACAGTTTGTATCATAGTATAAATCAGGTAATCCTATAAGTAAAATATCACATAACAATTGTTCAGACATATTGAAAACATCAAAATCAAAGCCTACCACATTCTGGAGATTGCTGAGTAGGGTGACTCTTTGTTGATTATATAAAGGGCAGTGTAAAAGAAAATGTATGACACTCTCACAACGAGACCCGCAGATACAAGCAGCACTAGGGGCTAAATTTCTTAAGAATAAGCTGTGGTTAAGACTACAGGTCCCGATGCGGAGACGCGTGAGTAATGCGCAGGTGTACCTGGGGCCGATGCTAAAATGTCGGTAAAAAGGGGAACGTACTGACTTTACTAAGTACTTCTGATACAATGAAAGATTCAGAGATCGAACAGCTACAAGTTGAAAGTCATGTTCATTATTAGTGTAGTATAGTTATGAACTATTCTAAAATTACTACGGACTACTATCAACGTTTTGGTTTTGACTTCTTTTGTTTTGTTAAACAGTGGAAGACAGACAGTTGGAGATAAAATGCATTTCGTCTTCCACCGTTTTTTAAAAACAGTAATTACACATGGTGACCCCTACAGGTAATTTTTTGTACCGCAGCGCCCTTATTGATTTCGAGAGGGTGGACGCTCATTCTACCGTACCTCCAGCTGCTTCAACAACAAAATGCGGACATTGCTCGATCGATGACAAACGCTCGAAATTTATCCCAATTTTTCTAAACTTACAGACAAATAAAAAAATGATATTTTAATTACCCGAAACCCACAAATTTTGGAAAAGATAAGTCAAACCCTTCAGACATAGTTTTATTATGTAGATTCTGTACTCTGTTTCAATTTCCGTTTTTATTATTATTTGCAATTAGCCGTCGGGCATGAATTTGTAGTAAACTTTGCACTTTATACTTTGCACTTTGTTAATGTATATTGTCCTATCTGATACTAGGAATAGCCCTTTTAGCTATTTAGAATAGCATCCAGCTAGTTTCGCAGTCAGATTCAGATTTTATTGAATTTCGATTTTTCGAATTTGAATTCTTATTGAATTTCATGTCACATTAAGACATTCATAACAAGAATACATAACTACTGGACCAAGGTCAACTTGTTCCGTTACTTTTGTATTATTTGACTTTCCATGCCTCTTTGATTTGATTATTTGTATTTCTTTCCATTATACAAACTCCACTTTACTTTTATATACAAAGATCAGGTCTTAGACATTAGCTTTAGCGCACGGGGTAAAAAAAAGACTGTTCGTTGAGACAGTGGCAGTCCTGGCTGTATATCATTTTATACAGCCTAATACATCAAATCACTTTGTCGTCTATGAACTTGAATCCGTCACACCATCTACAGGGAATACCCAGCAATCAAGGCATCATTTACCGAGTGATCGTGTAACAATAGAAAATGTGTGCTACACACGCCAACATTACACTGACTTAGGCCACAGCAAGTAATTTTATGGATGACATCAGCGCGCGCATTAATTTTCGCCTGATTTGGGAAAAAAACTTTTTGTTGTCTTTTGACCGTGGTGAACATGCCGAAAATGGGCAAAGATGTCTGCTGCCATGTCGGAATGTGGATGGCAGATAACTATGAAGAGAGGAGACAAGAAAAGACTCTGATTTAATGTTTTGTTTCTTACTTTGATGCAGTGATATGTGATACTGGCTGTGTCTATGTGATGTTCCCACTGAATCAAAACTATCTGTGATTGAGTCAAAATTCTAAATTGTAGGAACCTTGTTTTTCTCGGCCTGCCTTGTTTTTTTTTTGCCCGCTCGCATTAGATTTGGGGCCTGCGGAGGATGTCATCCATAAAATTTACTTGCTGTGGCCTTATTGTATATATGACACTATTTGAAGCACATGTGATCAATCTTAGGCGAGCTGCCAAGGCGCGACAACCGCTGCTGACAAATAGGTAAGAGACATAGTTTGTCACGTCAAACATTTAGTTAATATAACAATGTATAATGTACAATGAATGCAGTGGAAAATGAAATACATTTTGTTAGCCAGTGTCCTCACTTTGAGACCAAAAGAAACAGATTATTTCAGACAGTTACAACAATTTCTCCATCCTTTCGTCATTTAGAAGATCACCAAAAAACTGCATTTCTACTAAGATCACAAAACCCACTAATTATGCAGAATGTGGGACTATTCATTATCCACTGCCTTCAAAGAAGAAGTCGAACCCCATAATAGGTAGCGTAGTAGTAGAAGTAGAAGTTTTTTTCCAGACAGTTGTTACCTGTCTCCTGTTACTGTATTGCAATGAGTATTATACTTGATTGTAAAAGCAATTAGCCTTCGGGCATGATTTTGCGAATAAAGTTTCATATAACTTGCAAAATGCAACTCTGCCAGGGAACTTACAGGCATACCAAACGATTTCAGGAGGGAAAACTAAATTTTCAAGGTCAATTTATTTTCATGTCATCTTTATCGTAGCAAGTTGAATCAACCCTATCCCTCAGCGTAGTTACATCTGTGAGAAAAAAATGCGATGTCGCTGATGGAAAACCGTTGCTTGTTTTGTATCAAAGGCTGGTTCTAGCTATTTATTGGTGGTACCCAAAAATGCAGGGGATCCTCGTAGCTTGTTTTTGGGCACATAGTAAATCTCCGATGACCAATCCTATCAAAATTAGTTTTTATGTAACATACTATAAAATTATTTTTTACACTGATGATATTGATTACTTATTGGTTGATATTGTGAATATTGTTTTAGTATAAGTTCATTTTACGCTCTTTTTTAGTTGCCTATATGTTTATTTTTAACTGTGAAATACTCACTTGTTTAAGTTGTCTATTTGTTCCTCGTAACTGTGCAATATTTGTCTCTCTGTTTTTAAACACTAGCATGCAATTCAGAGCTACTTTTTAGTTGCGCTGCCACGTGCTAGCGATTGTACTTATTGATCAATCAATAAACAATTATTATAATATTTCAAACGCTTCAAGTATGAAAATATAATGAAAATGTGCTAAGAAATGACAGTAAATGTCAATATCAGACAGTTTTTCTCATCCAGAATATTTTTGTACTCCCGGCCTGAAATTGCATTGGATGCCTTTAAGACGGCCTCATTTATTAATATAACTATTCAAACTTCTACAATTCATCCCAATTTCTCTAAACTTACAGACCAAGAAAAAACTATTCTTCTTTTAACTTCCCCAAACCCACAAATTTTGGAAAAGGTGGGACATTACGTCTTCCATGGTTTACAGAAGAGAAGTCAAACCCTTCAGACATAGTTTTAGACATAGTTATAGTTCTAGACAGCTACCTTTATCATGCAGACTTTAGTTATTTTATACTCTATTTCATTGTTCTTTTATGTTTTGTAATTTGCAATTAGCCTCCGGGCAAGAATTTGCAATAAACTTTTAAATATAAAGCAGCGCTATCCAGGCATTTCGGATAATGTCTTGAGTACCTAGATCTTACGAAAGTCGCTGTACGTTTGTTGTGTCAATAAAGTTCTCTATATCAAAAGCGTATATCACATGGGTTATACTTATGATGCATTTTACTAGATCTCTTTTAAATTAATCACAACAATTTGATCAATTGGTCGCTCTGAATCAACTCCTCATATTTTTGCCTTAACAGTTGAAGGGAAGTCCCTTCTCTACAGCCTTGTTACAGTTTTTTCCATCTATCAATACAGTAATTTCATTACAAGTTTGAGATTCATTGTTTGAATTACAAACCAGCCTGGTATGTTTATTCATGGCTCCTATAATAGCATTTGGGGCTATCATGGGATGCCTAGATCTGTTTTTGTACTTTGTTTTTAAATTTTACTTTGTCCTGTCGCTTCATATTTTTTCACAAATCAAATTGGTGTGGCTCAATCTGTAAAACCACATTTATTTCTTTGCCATCAGATTTGAATTCCTCTACATCGGAACCAAGCTAAAAGGCGGCTTCTTCAAGAGTCACTATGCTGCCCGAGTTACGGTCTACACCATTGGAGCCGCATGTATGTTATTTAAAGGATTGTGTATTGCGTAACGTTTTTGAACCGAATATGGAAGTATTTGAAGAAAAATTTACGTGATTGTCGTTTACAAAACAACATGGCCATCAGGTGTGTTTCCAGCTTTTAAACACACTGGTGTAATATTTTGGCACCTCGGCTTCCTATATGGCGCTAAGGAGTAGGGTTGATTCAACTTTCTTTGTAGAAATGACGAGAAAAATTGACTTTTAATATTACACACCAAACTTCTTAGTTTTCGTTAAGGCCACACCGACTTAATTTTATGGATGACATCCGCGCGCGCATTGATTTTCACCTGTTCTAAAAAAAAGTCCTTCGAGGCTCTGGTCTGGCTCTAAACCTGGGTAGTCCATTGTAGTTAGCGACAATACGGAGCCGGGCACCCAGGTTACCGAAGCTCCACGACTCAAGAAGTACAGTGCCGACTCATAAATGATGCTAAAGGCCATCATGTGCAGTCTTGTCGTATACGTCGCTACGTACTGCCACAAATTCACAATACCTGCTCTGTATTACTGTGGTTTGGTAGCATTTTTTGGGCCGAAACTTTTTTTATTCGCCCGCGCGCACTAGTTTGGGAGTCTTCAGAGGATGTCATCCATAAGATTAAGTCGGTGTGGCCTAAATTATTTCTCCGAGAACCAAAGTCAATTTCTTAACCGACGTTTCGACCGCTTTGAACTTATTCTGATTTTGCACTGATAAATTTCTAGCCAAACATATTCCAAACATAGCCATGTAATATTACACATGCATGATAGTCTCTTAATTCTATCAGATTTTCTGCGACATATTTCTTCCAAGAATTCAAGCGTTGTTCAAACATTTAGTTTTTTTTTCTTCACAGGTTAGATTCCGACTTCTAGTTTTGCTCTTTCTGTTTTCAATATTCGAAGGTAAGTGGTATTCAATGTAATAAAATATCAATTTTATATGGTGGTAATTTAATAAATAAAGTTATGGTATACTAGTTAGAAACTTAAGCTTTGTGAAAACAAGGGCACGTACCACATAAAGAGTGCTAGGAAGTAAAAGATAAACATGGAATATTGTAAACAGGGCAGATGATTTCCGAAAATAATTTAATTGGGTTGGTAGAAATAAGGATATTGGAAAGAAAACTCCAATATGGCCAATGATATTTGTTTGTTTGACTTAATTATAATTTCAATTGTGTGCAAACATTTTAGTATTGAATAGTGCATATTTTATCCCTTGTTTTGTCTCTTAGAAAATGACAACATCGTCTGTAAACAAAAACCAAGTAGATTGTGTAGAACTGGTGGTAAACATTATGGGTCATCTAGATCTAATCCTTTGGTTAATTGGTTTATGAATGTGTGTGGGACTGAGGTTGCACCCCTGCCTTACACCTTTATCGGTAATACAATTAAAAATTCTTCTGGTTAGCCATCGGCATCATACGGTAGGGATGTCGAAAATGTCATGCTTTACTTGGAGTTTGGCCGCTTGGCGATCGGGGTGGTATGTATTCTTTCTTGCTAAAGAGTACAGGGGACGAGGTCCCATGTATGTAGGGGTTTTAGACGTTTAAATGCACCCAATGCAATTTTATTTGTTTATTGTCAATTTGCACATAAAATTGTAACAGTATAAAATTAAATTATATACAAGCAAATATATGCTGGAGAGCCCAAGAAACCTGAAGGTTTGTCTAGTGGACTCTCCCAAATCCTATTAATTTTACGATCTCTTATTTACATACATTTATTACATTTAACTTTGCAATGTATTAAGGGACAAGCAAACAAATTAACTCAAAATAGGTACAAGATAATATAAAGTTAACACGGCGAATTATATATCTAAACAATAAAGTAAGACAATCAAGAACATATCATATTGAACAAAAAAAATAAATTTCCATTAGTCAAATCATACGTTATTATGAGTAAGAACAACATAAGAAACCAATATTAACACAAAGAAAATATCATAGCATAAGAAAACAAGGAAAACAAAAGCAAATCAGGAAATTTATGACAATTTCAGAGCGGAAAAACAATCTTCTGTATGAGGAAATCTGTCAGATTTACTGCCATTTTCTAGCACATGTCGTCATCATTTCATACTTGGAGCGTTTGAAATTGCTTGGAAACAAGAGGAGTCTCTTTATCTTTTGGGTACTGCCCATTAATAGCTAGAATCAGCAAAACAGCAACCATTTTTCATAAGCGACGTCGCATTTTTGCAATGTTACTGTTACTAGTTACTGGAAAAACACCATCCTTTGAGTTGATGATTCACCTCTTACAGGTGTCGAGATGAATAGTGGAGAAGTTACACTTACCACTCCAGCCCCGACATCTTCAAGTAACAGTGGGCAAGGTGAGTATATGATCAATTGCTGCACCAATGAGCATCTCTGCAAAAGATCCTTGTTGAAACTGTGGTTGGGTGTCCAGTCTATCGTGGGTCGGGCTGGCTCTCGTCGGGGCTCTAATAGTTGCCCCCGCCGGCAGCTCAACTGGCCGCTCGGTGGGATATTTGAATGAATGAAGACCTTTATTGTACACACATACCCGCTGGTGGGTTAGCACATGTCACAACAAAAGAATGGAATAATGGAATACAGATATCGTTATATATATACATTGTCAAGTAGGTACGGTTTCTTCTCGTTTCTTAGTAATGGTAGAAAGGTAAGAACAGGTACGTTTCAGAATAGAAGGGCTGTCTAAGTTCATTAGAAATATAAATTTATCTGTACAGCTTAGATGTATGAAGGGGGAACGTGGATTGTATCAGACTATAAAGATGTACTCTCTCTCTTTGTTGTATAGTTTATGGATAATGGTCGCGATTACCATAACCTATTTCAATTTGTGGTTTTCTAAGCTCAAATTACAATATTTTGCTTGTGAAATTCCTATCCTTTGGCAATGCTACAATTCAACATGTCCTCATTAATTATGCGAATGACCTCTACATTAACACGTAGGCAGACCGTACTGCGCCTGCGCAAAACCCTGATTTTTCACGATTTCAGTTGGATTTTTGGTCAACGTTGCATCAGAATTTTGGCTGTTGCAGACGATATCTTTTCCAACATAACATTTGGAAACTACAGACCGAGTGTTAACCTTATACGACCTTACATGAGATGTTCCACGGAAGTGCTATGCACAATACATTATGGGTTTCGCTCCTGAAGGTGCAGTACGTTCTGCCGACGGGCTTAGATCTCTCTCTCTCTCTCTCTCTCCCTCTCTGTCTCCCTCTCTGTCTCCCTCTCTCCCTCTCCCTCTCTCCCTCTCTCCCTCTCCCTCTCCCTCTCCCTCTCCCTCTCCCT